TTATGGCCGTTCGAAGCCGCGTCCTGCTCATGTCGTTAGCTAGGAGGACATTGAACGGAACTGACGTAGATTTTGGCCTTGATATTCTGGTTACCTAAGTATTTATATGTACAATATAGTTATTCGGGAATGTAAGTGATCTCCTCTCGAGAGGCTTACAAGATCAGATTGCATGCATCACCCCCAGATCTAACTCCGACTCTGGTAGCGGTGCCTAGGTAAAGAAACTGCCAATCAGGCTCCATTTAACTACTAAGTATCAAGCTTCCCTATGTAATATCCACACTGGTCCCATCCCACTGATGCCTTGCTTAGTACAACCCACACCAAAACCCACTCAGCCACTGAAAGACAGGGTGGGTGGTCATGAAATTGATCGCCAACCTGGCTGTATGCTGTCTGGCCCTTTGCCTTCAGCCCCTCGCATGTCTCAATGATCAGTTTCCATATGCCAGTCTCGCCAATTCCACTCCTGGATGCCTGGATGCCTGGGTGCAAATAGCCCGGGCTGACAGTGCATGACATGTCAAGGAAAGAGGCGGCCCTTGGCCGGTCTGCAGGCCTTCGTCCGCAAGTCATAAGGTCTGTGTTGAGTCTGCTGCACACGGGCCCCCGGGGGAGGTTGTGGGTGCCAAGACAGGCTGTTGGGAAGAGGCTGAGCCATGTTGGTAGACGATTGGGGCCCGGAATGGGTCATGGGTCCGTCACCAACCAGTTCGTGCGCAACTGCGACTTGTCGCCGTATTCACCTACCACCGATCACCTCTTCAGAAGATCTCGCACTTTCGTCTCTCAGAGCCTTTGAATTCTTCTCACTTTTCGTTTCCGACAAAGAATGGCAATCTACCACATTACTAAACAATTATTCGGTAACTGTCTTTTGCAAGCATCTTTCGTGAGTAAAAGCCATAAAGAAACCTTACAAGCACCATCAAATCCGTGCCCAAGCAAGACGACGAAGCACGAATCTCCACCATGGCCACGCAGCAGCAGCCGGAGCAGGAGCAGGAGGAGCTGCCCCAGCCCGTGCCGATTGGTCCTCGCACCGCCAAAGGCGGAGGTTTCTACATGATTCCGGGTACCAAGCCGAAATACCAGCAGACGGACTTTACCAGTCTCGTTATCTACGAAAGGGACCTCGCCGAGGCTCTCAGCATTTTACGCGCTAAATCGGCTACGGATCTGTCCGCTATCCGTACCCTGAGCTTTACACTGAAAGATGCGAACCTCTACTACTGGTGGGGAACCCTCCTGCAAGACGGGGGTCCCCTCTGGGACGAGGAGGAACGCGAAGATATACTGCGGGTATATCCGATCCCAGAGTCGGTAGCCGCTGGCAATCCTCCGAGGAGCATGTTCCGCGCACTACTACGCTTTATTGCTGAGAACTTTGACCTGGGAAAGCTAGACTTGGTTGTTGACGCCAAAAATAGCTCGTGGAATATCTGGTGGGATAGAACCTGCGCATGGGGGTATAACCGCGAACCCCCAGAAGAGAGAGATCCGGAATTCAAGTTTATGTATGAGATATTCCTGGATATCGGAAAGGGCGGTCGGCGAGGTGTTTCATGATAAGCAGCTGCGCTCGCTGAGCATTACTACGGACGTTTGGGAAGGTGTAGGCGAGTGGCTGACGGGGCGGCTTAACGGAACGGAAGTTGCGACTGAGGATGTGCCGTGCTTTCATAACCCTGAGACGCCGCTTCTGCCCGGTGAGGGTGGGCCCGGGATCGGGGCCGGGGTCGGCGATGCGGTGAAGGACGGGAATAACAGAGGCAGCGCCGCCGTGGGGGACGCGGGCGGTGAGATTAGCGAGGAAGAGCAGTAGGTAGTCTCTGTACGGGGATCTGAATGCTACACTACACTACATCATACAGGTACATGTTATATTACTACACATAAGGGTGGGCCCGCTCAATGAGACGCTGATGCTTGACGCACATATGCGCACATTTCTTCCCTATACCGATTGATGTGCTCGCCTTGCTGTCCTGGGCGAGCCTCTGGGTGCCGCGAGGGGACTCGACGCAGAGGACGAGCGAGTCCGAGAAAGCTGGAGTATCGGTGGGGTCTACAGCCCCAGTGCCGCTTTTCTGATAGATATAGATTCAACCTCCTCTGAATGATAGGATTCGGGCAATTTGCCGATATAGTTTCACCTGAAGCCAGCGTTTTCTGTCCGTATTACAATTTTGCGAGTTTATTTGATGTGGAAGTAGATCTAAGGTTGGAAGTCGGGGAGCTTGGAGTCCCTGAAAGTCACTGCATGTAGCATTCGTGATAGCGCCCTTACGACAGTGCCAGCCGAACCCGAGGACGTAACGGGTGCAAAGTCGCTGTAGGAGTTATATGGCTGAGTAATAGTACTATATTCACAGATGGTCAAAGATCTGGCAAATTCTGTAGAAGCTTCGTGGTGCCCAATGGAGTGAAAGCCATGAGTGCACCTAAGCGTTTCAACAACCGCAAAGCGTCGCAAAAAATGCACCATTGACTTCGAAATTAAAAGGCGGATGAAGGGGACCCCGGAGGTTCGCCCGAACCAATGTCGGGGTGGCTAACCCGGCAGCTTGGATGCCATCTCCCGGACCCGTAGCATCGGCTCGGCCTGGTCTGACATCTACTGTATCTAGGTACTGTACCAGTAGTGACGGAGGTCTGCCTACTATAGGTCGCCTTGAGTTGTCTCCCCAGACTCCCCAGCTTCCGCGCAGATCGACAAACTTGCGCAGCGGATCCATCAGAGGCTTGTTTCAGCCTACGTCGATCAAGGTACAACACACTAAAACCGACTTCATCTCTTCGCCACGATCCTCACTTACACCTGCCCTGCTGCCATGAGTACAGGACATTGCGTCAGCAACCTTACCCGATCCTCGAAAACAGATCTGAATGAGCAATTCTCCGGCAAGAATCCTAACTACCTATGTCCTGGGTAGGTAGATTCTAGGTGGCCCGCGTTACCCGCGGAGCTTACAGGTATCGGCCGACCGGAAGGACAAGCGATGGATGAGGAGTCGATGACCTTGCGAACCGACTGTATCGCAAGATACCCCACCAACAGCACTTGAGGACATTCGAGACTGCGGCAAGCCAACACATCATGCACCCCAAACAAACGCATCGTGAATAGAACCACAGTGCATATCCGACCGTTGGCCACTTGATCACATCGCCAAACTGTCAAGCAAACAGATACTTCACGGGTTGTCTTCACAATTCGAATCACCCTCTCGTTGACTTCATCCGTACCCCGCGCCCAACCCCATAAGCAAACCCACAATCGCGACATCCCGGAGCCCTGGTGCACAACGCCGGTGCCACCCTGCGCACCTGGCACCAAAAAAGAGGAGCCGCCCCGAGCGGGGAGCAGGAAGCGGTCCAGGTCTCATGATGGAGTCCTCGAGAACCTGCAAGACAAACCCACCTGCGTGGCCAGACAGCCAGACTGGAGCCACAGTGACCATGACAAAATACCTCCCCCTCTCGATCGGACATGGTGCGATAGCATCTTGGGCTGCGGGCCAATGAGTTGTCGGCGGGAGGGCCCGAAGAGACCCGAGTTGCGGTGAAGAGATCCAGTCTCACGCAGCATTTTTTCTGGGGGGCCCTAGCCTACGAGCCCTTGACAACCAACGGTTTCGAAGGCGACTTGTGAGATGATGGGTTGATGAGTTGGTCCGCGATGTTGTACAATGGTATATGAGTCGATCGATTGTCACACCGTCAAGAAGAGGTCTACCCTCTTATTTGACCTTTCCTCACACCAACTCGCCTGGGCGATGATGCGTAAACGCATCATACAACTGCTATGACCACTCAATAAGCACGTTCATCTCAATCACGTCTATCAAGGAGGAGGGCTAGCACCTCTCCACTCACACCTATTGAACATCAAAAAGAGCGAGGTGTATCATCCACCTCCAACCGTCGTACCATGTCTAGCATTATCGCCGTCTGCGTGAGCTTCATCGGCCTCGCGCTGGTCCTCATCAATGCCGTCATCTTCATACAGATGATTCTATCCTTCCCCGCCATGATGAGCAGCAATTCGCAGTCCTACATCCAGCAGCAGAGAAGATATCACCACATCCCATCACCCGGAGTCTTCGATTCGAGCCATCACACAACATCAGTCACTTACGACGCGGATGTCGAGACCGAGACCGAGCAGGCATGGGTTGCGGACGAGTCCTTGGATCGGTGGCTCGAAGACGTGGATGAACAGACCGACGATTGCGGCCCCGAGGTCCAGCACGTACCCAGGCATAGTCCGGTGAACCTTGCGAGGGGACTAGAGCCAATCACAAGGGGGCGATCGCTGAGGAGGAAGCCGAGGAGACACGCACCGAGGACGGTGTTTCGCGTCAGGGACGACTTTGACCTCGATCTCGACGAGGACAGCGATCACGTGACGAGCGGGATAAGCAGAGGTCACGTGGACAGGATCACACCTACATGCGTGACAGGCTGGAGGAGCGTGGAGTGGACAAGATGATCTGGTCGGCGATATGGCTAGTGGCGATACTTATATCCACCGGGTTATTGGAGGATCAAAACGGCAGTACGGAACGGGGAGGTTTGCAAAAGGGCCAGGGAATAGGCGCATCACGAAGTGAAGAGACATGAACTACAGCATACCTGCACAGATTTTCTTTTGTTAGAGATACCAATTGTCTTACCAAGCAAAGTATTTTCCTTTGTAAATACATAGATCACTCTGGCTCTCAGCTCGATACTTGGGAGCAAACAATAACAAGGCAGAGATCCTCTACGAATCGTCTACTTTTTCTAAGGCTGCATGCCCCGAGTGATAATAATGTCACCGCGAACAAGTGGAAATCCCAAGACTGTACGGTGTCACTTTGTCATCCAGGCGTGGAGTGAACGGGCCAAAAACAAAAGAAAAGAAAAGAAAGAAGAAAAAAAATGGAAATAGGAAGGAAAGAAAAAAGAAAAGGAGAGGGCGAAAAGAACAAAAGAAAAGATTTATTTAGCAATGGACGACCACGGGATCGAACCGTGTACCTCGTGCAATGCCGCGTTGTAAACAACTTGCTAAGCACGCGCTCTACCATTTGAGCTAGACGCCCTGTTTGTTGAAGTTATGATATTTGTTGATACTCATATAGAACAAACAAATTCCGGAATTGTGGTCTGCAAGAGTGAAAATATATATCAGCACTTGAATTTCGCGGGTTATCCAGATGTTCTCCTAGAAATTCACCGGAGGGCCAATGATCCGAAATTCAGAATCCCACGAAGAAGAACAACCAATACGTTGAAACATAACAGATTCGAAGCATCAATAGGTCCGGAGGTCCGGAGAATGCCGGTTTTGCCGGACCTCACGGCTCTAGAGACCGGAGGTCTTCCATCACCCATGCTTATGTAAGCGAAACCTTGCCAGCCACACCTCCTCCCAGAAACCTACCCACCTTCCAGATGTCACCCTCTGTCGAAACCAAGCGGTGGTTGAGTAAGTATATGGGAGTGGGATTGATAACCAGCATTGTTCGTACTTGCACAATGAAGGTCCGCATTGACTTCATGTTCCATGCCACAAGTATAGGCCGTGAGGAAGCAGGTTGCGGGCAGAGATGTCCAATTAAAGGTTGATGATACGTTCCAGGGCCTGTGTCTTGACTGTCTGACGAAGACAAAGTTCGAGTGCGAAGACGAGGATTACTGGAGGCACTGCAGCCTTTCCGAATTTGACTACGGCTGTACGGTCAGGCATGGCCAACCTACCTGGTAATTTAGCTACATGGGGCGTCCCGAAGCCTTGCAGAAATGGGCCAAGGAGAAGCGGGAGCAAAGGGAGCAAAAGGAGCGTGGTATAACTTCCCAGAGCAACAGATCTCTTGGACGAGTGCTTCGGGACGGGAGAGGCTCAACTTCCCTGGCCCAGTAAAGCTCAGTCTAGATGCTGTCCAAATGACATTTCTGGACTGGTTTCAAGCCTTGTAGATTTGCAACATCCAGATGATGTAGCAAGCACTGGGAAGTTCGCTGGACAAGGGCTGACATCGAGATGGGATGTAGCCACAGCAACTAGTGAAGAACTTAATCCACATAGCAACAGAAACATGAACAAGATCACTTCAAGGATTGGAAAGCCGGTATGGTAGCCGGTCGGACTCTGAGGCCGCAGCTCAACTGATGGTATTCAGAAGGAGCTAGACTGACGATGAAATCGTCAAGTATCCATGACTGGATGTACATGCCTGTGAACCCCGTTCCATCAGAACGTAGGGATCCATCCCCTGCCATAACCCATGTGAAAGCCCTCAGAAACGCCTTTTCGGAAAAATTGTCGTGATGTTGGTGCGATCCGTTTATCGGACAATGGCCTCGAAGCGCTGCTTGAACCACCGGATGGTGTCGTCACGGTTGATGCGGTGGGAGGCACCGATCCTGCCCTTGGCACGACGACGACGGGCAACACGCTCGCCGGGGCGGGTCATGATGCAGTAGAAGTCCATACCGTAGATACCGATACCGGGGTCGTACTTGATACCAAGGTCGATGTGCTCGCTGATACCGAATCCGAAGTTGCCGGTCTCGCTGAAGTTGCGCTTGCGGAGCTCGTACTCCTTGACCTTGAGACCACGCTCGAGGATCTCCTCGGCCTTGGGGCCACGGACGGTGACGTGGACGGCGATCTTTTCGTTACGACGGATACCGAAGGTACGGACGGTGTAACGGGCCTTGCCTGGAGGGATTGTGTTAGGGGATTTATTGTCCTGCGGCATCAAGCCAAGGGACTCTCGATTGGGTCAGAACGTACTGTAGACAGGAGTCTGACCAGACAGCTGCTCGAGCACCTTGGCGGCACGGGTAAGTCTGTCACCAGACTCGCCGACGGAGATGTTGAGGACGAGCTTCTGGATGCGAAGCTCGCGCATGGGGTTCTGGGCCTTCTCAGACTGTAATCATTATGGTCAGCAATTAGACATGCCGGTCAGTCGTCTCCGGTGATAATTACCATTTTGGCTGGTGGTCGTCGGCGGTCCTGATGAAAAGGATTGACGAGAAGGCGTGGTGTGCTGAGGGTTAGTACGAGGAAGAGTTCACGACGTGCAACAGCGCCGAAAAGATGGGGATTTTCTGCAAAATGTGCGGTGGAGCCCTGATTGAGGACGCTAGTCTGGACTAGATTAGCTGATTAGGATGGTGGGTTACGAGGTGGCCCGAGCTTTCCCCGGCAGCCTTCCAAGTTCGTGGCAGGCATTCAGCCGCGTCAAATTCATCCTGGGCGCATCAACACTGTCTGCTGGACTTGGAAGCTTTGAAGGAGCTATCGAGACCGCGACACCACGAAGTCACCCCCTGACTTCGACAAGACCATACCAATTTTTGAGTACCTGAAGAAGCTACCCTGTAGCAAATTGTCGCGAAGATGGCGACCAACAAGCAGGGCAAGATGGTCAGTACTGCCTCCCAACACCGCGTTCAGTATCTCGAGGTTGACATCAACAGGCTAACACGACGTGATATCGCAGGCCGGTTACGTACGTACACGACACCCGTTTCTCTAACGATACATCGCGGATATGGACTTGGATGTCGATACTGACATCGCCGTCTAGATCAACTACCGGATGCGAGTAACCTTGCTGGATGGGCGGCAGATGACCGGACAAATGCTGGCCTTCGACAAGGTCAGCCATCAATACGCTCCACGTTTTATCAATGAATGCTTGCTAACCTAGAAGCAGCACATGAACGTTGTTCTTGCCGACACAGAAGAGTTCCGACGCATCAAGAAGCAGAACAAACCCTCCGCTCCAGGCGCGGCACCTGGCTCGGCGCAAACGATTGTGCAGGAGGAGAAGAGAACACTTGGTCTTACGATCGTGCGTGGAGCTCACATAGTCTCCTTGTCCGTCGAATCGCCGCCACCAGCAGATCCTAGCGCTCGTCTAGGCAAGACGACGACCGGTGGAATCTCGACAACCCTGCAGTCAGGACCTGGTGTTGCGCGCCCGGCGGGGCGAGGAGCTGCTCCTCCTGTGGCGCTTGCTGTATGTGAATCCCGTGAGCCGTTCAATTATTACAGTGTTAACAGCTTTATAGGGTCCTGCTCCCGGTGTTGGAGCCGGCGTGCCACCTCCTGCCTTTGGTGGCTTCCCAGGAGCTCCTCCTGGCTTCCCTGGCCGGGCAGGCCGTAAGTCCAATCATCTCGCATATATATTGAACACTCGCTGACGTCTTTGTAGCTGGCGCACCTCCTGGATTCCCAGGCCCTCCTGCTGGCTTCCCACCTGCTAGCTTCCCCGGTGCTCCTGGTGGACAGTTCCCTCCTGGCTTCCCTGGCGCGCCAGGCGGCGCACCACCTGGATTCAACCCACCTCCCCGACGATAATCACATTAATACCCAAATCAAATCTACCATCATGCGCTTCATCATCTGACTGACATTGAGAAGGGACATCCGGGGCGTTCAGAGGTTTTGCAAAACTGAGGATTGGAGGTTGGCAGCTCTGTACAAATAGCATAGATGGACATCAATGAACTTGCTGGATGGAATTCTACCGATCTGGCTTCCCAAAGTCATAATCATTGTGGATGTACGGCTGTGACGCGTCTGATTCTTTTGAATTCAAGTACAAAGTACCTTGGTACGCTTCGCAGATAGTATTGTTGAACCAATACACGTGATGCTGCAGGGATCTGAGCTCGGAGTCGAATTCAGAAGGAGCTGACTGGCTCCCAGGCGCCAAGGACCCCCAGCGGTTCCCCCGGAACCCGCCCCGATAGAGTAGCCCGCCTGCAAGCCCGCCAAATTTCCAAGCCAACATCGTTTTCGCAGTCTTTCCCGCACCTCAAAGCCGTCAACACCAACCCGAAAGACCAGTTATCGCAGCTGCCACCGGTCTCAATAGACAGCGTCAGATCCACAGTCAAGATGGCCGCCTTTGTAAAAGCGATCAATGCGAAGATTCGCTCCAACCCATACACCGACTACATCTGCTCAACACGTACGTGAATAAGCCTCTCGCCTTCGGGTGCCGTCATCGGACAAACCCCCCGCTATCTCCGGTGACTCCAACGGTGTCGGGTCCCTTGGTTTTCGAGGAGGGAGGATTTGTCTGCACTCGGATATGTTGTCTGCGCGAGTAAAGAGAGGATGGATGCACCAAATTGTGCAGTGGGCAATTGGGCATCGCCGCCACCGGCAGTATCGCTTCTCGTGCAGCTTCTAAAGCCCGGGGCAGAGGGGATTCAACAGAAGCAAGCAATTGCTCTGAAAACGAGTTGCTAACGTCAGTCTACGATGCGCAGATTTCTGGGGCCCGGTTTCTAACTTCGGTATCCCCCTCGCTGCCGTGGCGGACACATTCAAGAGCCCTGAGCTGTAAGTACACTCACCGTGACCCTCTGCTGCCTCACTACCACTGCTTGCCCCGGGGGAGTTGCCCGCGCTGACGCCGCTGGTGAACAGCATCTCCGGCCCGATGACCTTCGCCCTCTGCATCTACTCCGCAACCTTCATGCGCTACTCCCTCGCCATCAAACCCCAGAACTACCTCCTCTTCGCCTGCCACCTGGTCAACGAGGGCTCCCAGCTGACGCAGGCCTACCGCTTCCTGGACTGGCACAAATGGGGCGGCCGGGAGAAGGCCATCTCCTCGGGCGAGCTGGTGCTCAATGACGCAAAGGAAGTTGTCAAGGAGGGTGCGCAGAAGGTTGAGGCCGGTGCGCAGAAGGTTCAGGCTGCCGTTAGCAAATAAGGAATATCTTCCTTTCTTGGCCGAGGCAAGGTGTGGGTGACATATCCGGTACGGCGACATGGACTTGGACCACTGGCCTGGTTGATCGGGGATCAACGCTGCTTGGTGATTGGAGGCTGAATACTACGGCAGCTCCGTCATGCGAGGTCGAGCACGTGAGCTGCTCCGGACGATGAAGCCATCCATGATGGTAATACACCACCATGTGGGCAGATTTGGGGTGGTAGTCGGAGCGGACTATCAGTAGAACTTAGATAACCCCGTTTAGGAGATTGTAACAACATTGCGGCGCCTCTAGCTCATACCTGTTCAACAAGTCCACAGTACTTTGAAAAGCAATGTGGTTGCTTCGAAAA